ATGCACAGCAGCTGCCCCCAGAAACTATTATTGAAGATGCTGTCTTTAAAATAGTAGTTTTAATTATTGTTCATCAATGTCTGTGAGAATGTATTTCTCTAAGCTCAAAGTAATTTACATACTATATCAAAATACGTACACTAAATTACATTTTACTATCAAATAATAGACCTTTTGCAAGTTTATAACTGAGGTACATTGTGAATTATATTTCCTTGTGAAGTTTAAGCTGCATAAATATATTATAAATCTGAATATAAATTCCTAAATACTGCTTTCATAGGTAATGAGAATGTTATGAATGTATAGTTTACTAATTAGAAACTGCCAAACCCCCAATAACTGTCAAAATCTACAAATGAAGATAAAACAGGGGGTTATCAAGATAAAACAGATAAAGAGGAAGGAGATCAAGAAAGACAAACTTCCAGTTATAAGTCATGGGGGTGTAAAGTACAGCATAGGGAATAGAGTTGATACATTATAATAACTATGTATGGTAACAGATGGTTACTAGACTTTGTGAAGTATAGAAATGCTGAATCACGATGTTGTACATCTGAAACTCAGATAATATTGTATGTCAACATAGAAATTAAAACGATAAAACAATAACTAATATATTAAATTATCTATTTAAGTCCCTTTATGTTCACTTAAAACTTTTATGTTACTAATTTGTATAAGCACCACATTTCCAATTAAACAATCTTTTCTACATATTTTTCCAGTGAATGCTTAAGAAGCAAATGATACTTGTAAAAAAGATAATAAGCAATATACTTCATATATTTCTCTTCAGGGCTCTCATTTTTTAGGATTATTTAAGTTTAAAGCAAATAAAGACTACCTTATTTTGTATGTTTAACAGTTGACTCATCATAGAATTTTTGTTTATTTTTTTATCTTTTTATTTAATGAAATTCTAGGCTCCAAATAAGTATTTCACTGAAGCAGTATTTGTACGAAAGGAATTTTGTTTATGTGATTACACTGTTATGCCTTTCTTGAATAGTATAACGGTTAGTGTTAATTAACTTTAAGAAATACTGCCACATACTTTTAATTTGCTTTCATGATAGAATCAGAAGCAGAAGGTAATTTGCTGATTTGATGTAGGTGGAACAGAGCTCAGTTATTGGCCCACTTCATATTTTTCTAAACCAGAGGAAGGAAAAGTTTGAAACTCAGTAAATGTAAAACTCTAATACTTTTGCAACCTATAAATTAGAACAATTGAAATAAGAGGATAAACTGTAATTAGTGTGAATGTGATAATTATTCTATTTTCATGCTCTGAAAATGAGGCAGAAATCAAAATAAAATGCTTATGTAGATGCTTCAATTAAAAATGACAGGTCTTATTATTCATACTAGTGATATATAAAATAAATTAAAAAATACAGATCCATGACCAATAATAAGAGGAAAGATGTATATATGCCTACACACACATATCTTTCCACACACACATACATACATAATTGTTCTTGAAAAGTCAATATATCTGCAAAAATAATTTAAATGAGGTATTTTGGTAAATTATAAAAATTATATATTTTTAGCTCTGGCTGGTGTGGCTCACTGGAGTGAGCACTGGCCTGCTAAGCAAAGGGTCACCGGTTCGATTCCCAGTCAGGGCACATGCCTGGGTTATGGGCCAGGTCCCCAGTAGGGGGCATGCGAGAGTCAACCACACACTGATGCTTCTCTCCCTCTCTTTCTCCCGCCCTTCCCTTCTGTCTGAAAATAAATAAATAAAATCTTTTAAAAATTATATTCTTTATTAAAACAATCTGTCATTTAACTCGACCACCTGTCTCATCAGGCTCCCACATCCCAGCTAGGAACCAGAGAAGTAGGGACAACCCCTAAGCTGAGGAGCCTGGGACATTATCCCCTTCAGCAAATCCACAGGAATCCCAGGAAACCGAACTAACCCTGCCCTGGCTTGCCATAATTAAGTGGCCCCATGCTGCCTGCTCCTGCTGCCACTCCCTGTAGGACAGCTGCACCCACTTTCTAACTGTAGGCTGCAAAGAGCTCTGCCTTCCACCCCCCCAAGGTTAGTTTGTTGTGGTTCACCATCCAAAGAATCTATAAACTTTATGAAAATGTAATGCAATCCCCAGTCTCAGTTCTTAAACCAATCTTGTTCAAGGACTCCCAAACACAATCAAGCACATGTTCACAGATTTAGTAAAACAAAACAAAACAAAAGAATGCTACTTTCTATAGTGGTAATGGGTAAAGAGAATTCAAATAGATAGTTTAAGTGGAAAACCAAATTCTTTTCAAGAGCTTACTCAGAAATTCTTGCACAATCATTTAAACATTAATTGCGCTCATCATTTGATGAATCCAAGGACCCAATTTATTCCTGCCTTTCATGCAATTTGTAAAGATGTAAAGTACTTAAGCCATGTCTGTAATCAAGATGGGTTTGAGTATTGCTGGTAAATTAATCAAAATATTTTTATGTAAAGAACATAAGTTAAAGAAGAGGTACACAGTTCACTAAGTCAAAATGCATTAAATATTGGTGATCTTCATTAATACAGATCCTCACCCCATTTTTAAACTAATAATAACTTAATAAGCCAGGCAGGGAGATCTACAGTCTCTCAAGGTGCACTCATTTTCAACTTGCTTATAAAGCATTATTGATGATTCTAAATGCAGGTTCCTGAGCTCTTCTAGAGGTATACATGGAAGTCTGCATTCTTTTTTTTTTAAGATTTCATTTATTTATTTTTCAAGAGAGGGGAAGGGAGAGATAAAGAGAGGGAGAGAAACATCAGTTGTCTGACTCTCACATGCCTTCAGCTGGGAACCTGGCCCATAACCCAGGCATGTGCCCTGACTGGGAATCGAACCAGTGATCCTTTGGTTCATAGGCTGGCACTCAGTCCACTGAGCCACACCAGCCAGGGCAAAATCTGCATTCTTAAGAAGCTTTCAAGTGGGTTTCCTTGAACTCTGAAGTTTGTGTCTTCCTAAAAAAAAAGATGGAGGGGTGACAATACTTTCTGTCTCATCCTTGTTAGTGCACCCTTTTGTGAACTCCCAAATCAATTTAATTCACAAATTCTCATTGTCCTTGCCTTCTCCCCAGAAAACCTGGAGAGATCAGAAATACAGACTTGCTGACAGCCCAGCACAAGGTTATCTGAAAAGGGTAAGTAAAATGAAGAGAAATAATTAAGACAACTGCCATTGTTGAATATACTTGTATATTCAATGGTACAGGTTAGGTGTTTTTCATATATCATGTTATATTTAAAATTCTAGGAAGTGTCTGTCATAGATAATATTCTCATTTAGTAGTTGAAGAAACTAAGGCTCATAGGGGTTAAGTAGTTTGTCTAGGATCTCACACAAGTAGTTACTGAGGAGCCTGGGTTAGAACACAGGTTTTTGCTTCAAACACCTGTGCTTTTGCCACATTGCTTTTGATCGCAAAAAATCAAATCAGTCATAGTGGGCGGAGAAAGATAAAAGACAAAAGATTCCCCTGTGATCAAAATCCTCAGTTGTTTGAACAATAGCTAAAGTGTCACTTAACCTTTTAAGGACTCTACTACTGTCTTTATTCCACACTCAGTTTTTTCAAACTGTCAGTTCAGTCCTGGTATGTCTCTTGGTAAATGCTTCCCCCTCTGATTCATCATCACTGATGTCATTGACTCTCTGAATTACCATAAAATGAAACATACATAAGTCTTACCTTAAGCTCTAATTTTCTTATATTGTAAACACTGACAATACATGCTATGTCAATGGAATCAATGAACTTTAATATTTTAATTAAAAGTTAATTAAAGTGGAAAAAATAAAAAATCTTCAAGCCTGGTCACACATTGGTAGCTTCATTGGCCAGTGGCTAGTGCACTGAATAGTACAAACATAGAACATTCCTATTTGGCAGTGGTGCCTGTATGTACAGGTGAAAGGAAATTTTATATTTATAGTTAGTATCTTTGGTGTAGTGACAAAAATTATCTGTATATTACAGTTATTTTGATAAATACTTAAAAAATCTTAAGCACCCAAAATTTTTATGTTTTTTACTTACAATTATACTCTCAACTCCTTAAAAAGAGTAGTTTGTAAAGTGTGTTTAAAGGTACTGATGATGGTAATGTGCACGTCACACTGATTGGACACTCGTGACCGTACAAGTTCTAAAGGGAAAATTGGAGTTTTTTCATTACACACAAGTCTTTTCAGGAAACTAATTTTCCCTTTACAGCCAAAGAGCTCCAGCCACTAAGACCGTTGGGAGCGGTTCTGCACAAAAGGTGGGCATGGAAGGGTGGGGGGTGGACAATTCTGGGACAAAAACACATTGTTTCTGTTACTCCTCATCCACTTAATGTTTGTCCAGTTCAATGTAGGCCTCAAAGTAGAGGGTATGGGTTACTCTTCATCCCGGCCAAAGCAACACACCTGAAGACACAGGTTCTTCAGAATAAAATAGATGCCTCATGAGGTTTCCAACCTTCATCCAGTTTTTGCTCCCCGTTGTCAGTTCTAAAGGACTCATCCTAAGCCCACCACCCCCTTGTGCTTGCTTCCCCATCCTGAAGCAGGAAAGACGGCCTTCAGTGAAATGCTCATGAGAACTGGCCTCTCCCCTCCCACTCAGGCATCCCCCAACCTGGCCCCACCCCTGTGCCTTCCTCTACCCCCTCCACACACCCTGATGTGGCAGGTGTGCAACCCCCACACCTCCCCATCCCCCAACCTGGCCCCACCCCCTGCCTCCCCACGCCCTCCACACACCCTCATGTGGCAGGTGTGCAACCCCCATCCCTCCCCATCCCCCAACCTGGCCCCACCCCCTGCCTCCCCACGCCCTCCACACACCCTGATGTGGCAGGTGTTCACCGTGTGCCCACAAAGATGGGGAAACCACGCCTCCCAGAAAGCAGTCAAAAGACCACTGCTTCAACAGCCAGGTGTTTTATTAAGGTGATAGTTTATCATTTACTTTTCATTCACATGGCATATTTTCTTGTCCAAGCTTGTGCCATAGTGTTATATTTGTTCCTGTCATTTAAGTACATTCTGGCAATGGATGGAACTAAGGTGTAATTGAGGTTGGGGTTGCAGAGCATGGAGCTGATGGACAACAATAGTTTGGATATCGTCAGTGCCGGCGACCACTGGGACTTAAGAATGTCTACATGGATATGTCCTCTTCTGTCGATATTGGGGTGGTATATCTGGGTGGTGAAGTAAATCCATGGAGGGTGAAAGGGGTAATCATATGGGAACTGTATACTGAGTGAGAAGGTACCTCCCTCATAGGGGCTGTTGGGGGGACCCATGATGGCCCCCCTCCATGTAAACATGTCATCGTCCATCGGCCCTGCAGAGCACATGGGAGGGGGGTCCATAGTGATGTCCATAAGTTCCATCTGCAGGCGCTTTACAGCCGTGGACGTGTCCACGGGAACGGGCCGTGTCCGGGCATCCTGATAGAGACAAGGGGGAACCACGGGTCAGGGGGGCCCATGGGTTAGGGTGGGCGTGGCTTACGGGGCCGGGGTTAGAGGGGCAGCCACCCCCCAGGTCGATGGGTGGGTAAGAAGGCTGGAGCCAGGCTGTGGGGTGTGAGGGGCTGTCAGGGGGCAGGGCCAGTGGGGAGGAGGGGGGAGGAAGGCAGAGTTGGGGACTCGGCTGGACCTGAGGGGCTCCTGCTCACCTGTGTCCTGCTGGTTCCTGGCACCTCCATCTCTTCTGCCTCCATCTCTTCTTCCTCCATGTCTGCCTCCTCCATTTCTGCCTCCTCCATCTCTGCCTCCTCCATCCCTTGCACCTCCATCTCTTCCTCCTCCATCGCTGGGTCTGCCACTCAGAGCCTGAGCCCTGAGGCTGCGCTGCCGGCACACACCGCCACCTTGTGACAGGACCAACTGCTCCTGCCGGCTGGCCTGCCTCTGCCCTCAGCCGTGCTTCGCGCACTGGGTGCCTGGGGCAGCACAGGGTATGCTCTATGACGTCACAAGGGCCCGCTGATGACATCAGCAAGCCAGGGGGCAGGGCCAGGGGAGAAAGGGGGCCTGAATGACAGAGAGTGGAGGGTGGGAGGGACCATGGAGGAGAGTGGGGGTGGTGGAGGGCAATGGAGGAGAGTAGAAGGGAATGATTGGGGGGTGGAAGGGAAGGGAGAGAGTGGAGGGGAACAGGGGGTGGAGCGTGGGAGGGCCCGGGGAATGCAGGGAAATGGAGAGGGTGGAGGGTGGGTAGGACCACCAAGGGGAATGGGGGGGGACCAAGGAGGGGCAGGATGGGGAGGTAGGGGGAGAGGCCAGGGGAGGGTGAAGGGGGCGGGGGTGGAAGGAGCCCAGGCTCCCTGGCTGGCCCACCGCGGGCGCCCTCCCCTGGTTAGTGGGGTCTCAAGCCCTCCCCCTGCTGAGAGTCACCCCAATGTAGAGGAGCCTTTGGTTCCCTGAATTCCTGCACCGCTCACTCACTCAGACTCACCTCCCTGAACAATTTCCCCCCTGGCTTCGTGCTGACCTCTCTCCTGCCATTCTCGCTCCTGAGCTGGCCCTCCCTCTCTTTGTACGGACTCAGATGCCCTGGAGAGTGAGCTGTATCCCTACGGGCCCTTTAAGACAGGATCTTCCCTCACAAAGAAGTTGTACACTAATACCCATACCCTAAGAGGGGTCCTAGTCATAAGCAATCATTGTGCATCTGAGTCAGTGATTAAAAAAAAAATATGTTCCCATACAATTGTGGAATCTTCCTATCCTGACTGTTGCTTAAGATGCAACTGTGGAATTTCAGTGCATTCACCAAAAGTGTTTTTGCTTAACAAGTATCAAGAATCACCAATGCTTTTTTTCCAAGCCTTGCAGTGTATACAACTGTCTTTCATTGCTGTATCATACTGTAACCTTGAAAAACACTGAAATGGCAGGTAAACTCAAAATGTGTAACACCAGCAATACACAAAAGTCAGTGAAATTGACACACACAGCAGTACGAACAGCTTTGTGCACATTTACAGCTGCATAGTCACTGAGGACTGCTCTGGCTGACAAAAAGCCATTACAGTATGCAACGGATTGTAAGCCACACTCTAATGTCAGAGCGAACAGCACATGCAGAAAAGTGTGCATCTTCACATACGACGATTACTAACATATTTGTATTTATTTCTGTCAAAGGAAAGAAGGCATGTGCATAGAATAGAGGCACTCATTTAGAATTTACACAGAAGGTGGGGTCTTCATTTGTCTTTAACTATTGCCCAACTTTCATCAAATAGTTATAGGCAGGGCCAGGCAAGGATAGCTTCGTTGGTTAGAGCATCCTCCTCATACTCCAAGATTGCAGGTTTGATCCCTGGTCAGGACACATGCAAGAATCAACAGTGAATGCAAAACTAACTGCAACAACAAATCTCTCTCTCTCTCTCAAAACTCAGTAAATAAAACTTTTTAAAAAACATATAAGCAGACTTTCAGTTCTTACTCCAACATACAAAGAGCTTGGATGTCTTTTCTCCCACCTTGACAACAACAGAAAACTCTGAAAATACCTGAGAATCAATGATTCTTCAGTCTTTCAGAGAACAGAAACCATGTGGCCAACCCACTGACTCTACAACTGAAGAGACATGTCAATAGAGAGAATCACAGTCACAGGAAAGCAATGCCTCTGATGGTTCCAGCAACTCAAAGGACACTTGAAAGCTAATTAAAAATTACTGGAGCCATGGATGGTGTGGCTCAGTGGATTGAGTGCAGGCTGTGAAGCAAAGGGTTGCCAGGTGGATTCCCAGTGAGGGCACAGGCCTGGGTTGTGGGCCAGGTCCCCAGTAGGGCAGTGCTCAAGAAGCAACCACACATTGATGTTTCTCTCCCTCTCTTTCTCCTTCCCTTCCCATCTCTGAAAATAAATAAATAAAATCTCCTTTAAAAATTGCTGGAGATTTAGCAGGGACTAGCTTGAGATTTATGAACTCCTGGGAGCCCAAATTTGGGAAAAGGGTTAAAATATTTATGATTTTTACATACAGGAGCCCCTAGATTCTCGAGGTGAAGGTCAGACAAAAGTTACCTTTTGCTTCTAACAGAGAAAGAGAAAAGTAATCATTTAAAGTACATAAAGACAGAGTCCTGGCCAAGATGGAGGCACGGGTAGAAAACCTTTGCTCCCTTGCCCAATCAAAAGGACGATAACAACTAATCTAAAATCAGTAAAAAAAACAGAAGTGCCAGATTGCATGGAAAAATCAAATTGCATGAAACTCTGACAACCAAGGAATTAAAGAAAGAGCCAACCAGAACAACCAGACTGGCAGCACCACAGACAAGCAAAGAGGGTTGCGCTGCCCTGGTGAATACCTAAGGCCCCGCCCCCTTACTACTTCACAGGTTCCCTAAGACAAAGAAATATAGCCCAAATGAAAGAACAGAGTAAAACCTCAGAAAGAGAACTAAGTGATGAGGACATAGCCAACCTATCTGATGGGGAATTTAAAGGCCTGGTAATCAAAATGCTCACAGATCTGATTGAGCTTGGTGGAAAAATAAAAGAACGAATGAAAGATACCCAAAATGAAATAAAGCAAAATATTCAGGGAATCAACAGTGACAGGAAGGAAACCAGGACTGAAAGCAATGACTTGGAACAAAAGGGAAAAATAAATACCCAACCGGAACAGAATGAAGAACCAAGAATTTAAAAAAGTGAAGAGAGTCTTACAAACCTCTGGGACAACATGAAATGTTCCAATATGCAAATTATAGGGGTGCCAGAAGGAGAAGAACAACAGCAAGACATTGAAAATTTATTTGAAAAAATAATGAAGGAGAACTCCCCTAATCTGACAAAGGAAATAGACATCTAGGAAGTCCAGGAAGCTCAGAGAGTCCCAAAGAAATTGGACCCAAGGAAGCACACACCAAGGCACATCATAGTTACATTACCCAAGATTAAAGATAAGGAGAGAATCTTAAAAGCAGCAAGAGAAAAGGAGATGGTTACCTACAAAGGAGTTCCCATGGACTATCAGCTGATTTCTCAAAGGAAATCTTGCAGGCAAGAAGGGACTGGAAAGAACTTTTCAAAGTCATGAAAGGCAAGGACCTACATCCCAGATTGCTCTATCCAGCAAAGCTTTCATTCAGAAGGGAAGGGCAGATCATGTGCTTCCCAGATAAGGTCAAGTTCAAGGAGTTCATCATCACCCAGCCATTATTATATGAAATGTTAAAGGGACTTATCTAATAAAAAGAAGACCAAAAATACGAACAGTAAAATGACAACAAACTCAACAATTATCAATAACCGAACTTAAAAACACAAAAACAAAAGTGAACTAAGCGAACAACTAGAACAGGAACAGAATCAGAGAAGTAAAAAAGGTGAAGGCATAATAGATGTACAGTGAATAATATTGTAATAACTATGTATGTTACCAGGTGGGTACTAGTACTATGGGGGGAATCACTTTATAAATTATATAAATATCTCACCACTATGATGTACATCTAAAAGTAATATAATTTGGATGTTAACTTTAATTGAAAAGATAAACATTTTTAAAAAGGTAAAAGAAATAAAATGTTATCTGCAGTAACCAAGAATATGTAAAGTGTTAACTTGAAAGTGGGCATATATCAGTTGAAAATATATGTTGCCAAATCTAGTACTGTGACCAGTACAAAATGTAGGAAAATATATAATTGATATCCTAAGATAGAAAATATAATCATATAAAATGCTCAATTATAAGAAAGACAGCACAAAAAATGATAACCAAAATATCTAAGAACATGTGCAATAAGTATAAAAAATTACAAATATGGTAACTGTATAATAATTACTTTCAATATCAATTGATAAATACACAAATTAAAATATAGACACTGTTAAAGTGGGTCAAAAATAACATCCAACTATAGGTCATCTACAGGATATCCACCTCATTATTTTTTAATCATTTATTATACTTCGATTACAGATGACATGCAATAGTGTATTAATTTTAGGCATATACTCCAGTGATTAGACATTACATAACTTACTAAACTGATCATCCCAATAAGTCTTCCACCCATCTGACCTCATGCATAGTTATTAGAAAATTACTGACTATATTTCCTATTCTGTAGGAATAGGGAGATGTAGTTTAGGATAGTGGGGAATAGGATAGTGGGGATGTAGTTAACATCCCCACGACTATTCTGTAACAACCAATTTGTACTTCTCAATCCCTTCACCTTTTTCACCCATCTCCCAAACTCCCTCCCATCTGGCAAATATCAAAGTGTTCTCTGTATCGATGAATCTGTTTCTGCTCTGCTTATTCATTTATTTTGTTTTTTAAATTTAATTATTGATAGATATGTATTTATTGCCATTTTATTGTTCATAGTTTTGTTCTTTTTTTCTTCTTCTCAAAAAAGTC